GTGCTGGTTCCTCATTGATATGTCTTCTCTTGTTGAAAAGCACAGGCTCTAGGGTGCCCAGGCTTCAGTAGCTGTGGTGCATGGGCTTAGTTGCCCCCCAGCATGTGGAATCTTCCCAGAACAGGGATCGAACCCATGTACCATGCCTTGGCAGAGAATTCTCAACCATTGGACAACCAGGGAAGTCCTGCACCGGGTCTTAGCTGCAGCACACAGAATCTTTAGTTGTGGCAGGCATGATCTGGTCCCTGACCAGGGATTGAACCTGGGCCCCCTGCATTAGGAGCAGGGAGTCTTAGCCACCGGACCACCAGGGAAGTCCCCAGATCTCTTTAGCTACGTGCCTGGATGGATCTCTTTGTCTATGTTTTGGATGTCCTCAAGAGTCTGATAACATGTCCAAAGCTGATCTGATCATCTTCCCTCCAAATCTGTGCCTTGTCTTTTGTGCTCCCCATTTCTGTGACACTGCCTCCACCTCAGACTCATCTTCGGCTCTCGTGACACCTCTCCAAACTAGTTCTTCCTCTCTGGATCCCACCCTCAACTCTCACCCTTTCCAGTATACTCTTCACATCAAACTTTTTTTTTTTTTTGCCATCAACCAAGTCTGATAGTTTTATTGTTGTCCTAAATCCTTTGATGACTCCCAGCTGCTTAAAAGTTAACACCCCAACTCCTCAACAAGGCAGACAAATCCTTTATAACATGGCTCTTACCTCCTTTGCAGCCTCATCTTCCAACACACCTTCATTAACACTGAGCTTCGAGAAGTCTTTCCAATGACTCCTTTGTTCCTGTTTGAAATCCTACCCTCCCCCATCCCTCTTGGTGTGTCTAGTGAATTTTTACTCAAGTTTCATCTCAAACATTTGCTCTCCTCAGAAGCCCTGAGGTGGAAATGGGTGCACTCTGCTTTGCTCCTGACGTATCACCATTCCACTAATCACATTGCATGGCTTACAACTGACTAATTCCTTGGAGATTTGAACTCAGGACATTATAAGCACCTAATAAGATCAAGAAGTGCAGAGGGATAATACACCGAAGCTTCATGCACAAACTGGAAACTATTTTTCTATGTTGGTGAGCTGGAAACTGAGAATTAACCTTATTGCAATTTATTTCTATGGGTTCCTTCGTGGTTCTTCAGTAATGCATTCCTCTCAGAAGTAACCTCTGAAATATCAGATGTTGGCACATCTGTTGGCTTGATGAGATTTCTCACTGGATCCCCCTTCCAAAGTTCTTTCCACATTGCACACCAGTAATCATTTCAAAACACACACCTGATCATCTTTCTCACCCCATCTCACACATACTACATCCTACTTAAAGCTCTTCATGGCCCTTTGGCTCCAACAAAAGAAAAAAAAAAAAAACCTTTTACCATGATCCACACCATCTGGCCTTTTCTTCAGCTCCTATCTACTAGCTGTGTTGTGGCCATACTGGTCCTTTTCTGGCTTCCTGGTACTTGTCTCTGCTAGCCCCACTGAGGGCTTCCCTGCCTGGCTTCTCTGGATAATTCTTTCCATCCTTCTTCCCCTGGTCCATTCACTCTTTTACCTGCAGACCTCAGCTCTAGTGCTGCCTCCTCAGGGTAATGTTTTCATCTTGTGTGGATCAAATCCCCCCTGTATCTCCCTTCCACTGTGTTTGTCACACTCCATTTTTGATACTTAGTAATGTGCTGGACTTCCATGGTGGCTCAGAGGTTAAAGAGTCTGCCTGCAATGCAGGAGACCTGGGTTTGATCCCTGGGTTGGGAAGATCCCCTGGAGAAGGAAATGGCAACCCATTCCAGTATTCTTGCCTGGGAAATCCCATGGACGGAGGAGCCGGGTGGCCTATATAGTCCACGGGGTCGCAAAGAGTTGGACACGACTGAGCAATTTCACTTCACCTTAGTGTGATGGTTTAGTGAACATCCACATCCCTAGGGCTGGAACCACATCCCTCATGTTCCCTCCTGCATACCATGGTCTACATAGAGCTTGGCATAAAGGTGTTCTGATATAAGCCCCAGGAAGGGCACGGAACTTTCAGTATAATCAACACTCAGTAAGTAAACACTTGATTAACTTTTCACGTAAATTAAGATTTATGTAAAATTGGTTTCTTGGGCTCCAAAGTCAATGTGGATGGTAAGTGCAGCGAAGAAATTAAAAGACGCTTGCTCCTTGGAAGAACAGCTATGACAAACCTAGACAGTGTATTAAAAAGCAGAGACATCATTTTGTTGACAAAGGTCCACATAATCAAAGCTATGGTTTTTTCAGTAGTCACGTACAGATGTTAAAATTGGATCATAAAGAAGGCTGAACACCAAAGAATTGATGCTTTTGAACACTGGTGCTGGAGAAGACTCTTGAGAATCCCTCAGACAGCAAGGATTTCAACCAATCAACCTGAAGGAAATCAACCCTGAATATTCATTGGAAGGACTGGTGCTGAAGCTCCAATACTTTGGCCCCCTGACGCGAAGAGCTGAGCCATTGGAAAAGACCCTAATGCTGGAACATATTGAGGGCAAGAGGAGAAGGGGGCGACAGGGGATGAGATGATAGGATGGCATCACTGACTCAATGGATAGGAGTTTGAGAAAACTCTGGGAGATAGTGAAGGACAGAGAAGCCTGGTGTGCTTCAGTTCGTGGGGTTGCAAAGGGTTGGACACAACTTAAGAGACTGAACAACGGAGTCTGTGAGTGAGTGAAGATCAAGAATAACAGGTTTCCCTGCTGCTTTTACCCTCACAGATACTCTGTATTTGTATATGTACCTTAATAAGTTTTCAAAATATTTCCAGATAAGTGATCTAATTTGATATTAACAACTGACTTGAAGGGTAGAAAGGGCGACCGCTTGCAGATGACTTGTCCAGTGTTACATGGCTAGTAAGCAACAAAGTGGGACCAGAACCAAGATTTGTTACTTTTCAGACCAGGGCTCTGGCCATTAAACAACAAAAAGGAAGCAAAAGAAGAAAATGCACAACTGAATAGGCAGCATCTACACAAAAGACAATAAATAGAGATTATCCAAATGAATTAAAATAAAAACATTATTTTAGGCAGATAGAACCTGGGTTCATTGAACCTAGGCACAAGTTCTCTAAATGCGGGCATGTTAGCATAGAAGGTTAGAGCTCTGACAAAGAGCGTGTCACCTAGAATTCTGGTACAACAGAACTCAGTTAATATTCTATCATAATTTTCATTAAAATATGGATGTTTAATAAAATGTCGGCTATTAAGTCGTTAGTGGGAAAGTTTATTTCTGGAAACCTTTTCATTCTTTCTTTAATGAGACTATTTACTTATTTATTATTGTAAGGAAAGGAGAGAAAAGTTAATCACTTAGTGGGCTAAGATTACGTTGTTTTACAGAGCAGTTGTTTTACAGAGCAGCCTCTAAAAGAAAATAAAGAGCAGTCTCTAACGATACTTGTTCATTTAGCTCATATCAGAGCACTTCTAGTCTTAACATATATACACGCTAATTTTTATTGAAATATAGTTTCAATAAAACTTGATTACCCCACTTATATTTAAACTTATTTTGCTTTGAGTTTAGTCTACCCGGTAGAACTGTCTTTTGGGGGACAGGGGCGTGGGTAAACGGGGAGAAAGATGTAAAAATACAACCTAGACGTGCAAAACTTCGTACACAGGAATCCGTAATTCGCTATCACCTGCTAAAAACAAGATTGGGTAATAGTTGAAAGTTCACAGAAAGTTTCACTCGACTGATGGAATGTACGCAACTGTTAACGATTTCCTACATTTGCCCACATTTCCAGAGAATCAACGTTATCTCTGTATTCAGGAAAATACAAGTGAAAAACGCCGGAGAAAGTCTCACTTCATTTGCCCCACGTGGTCCTTCCTGAGCTAGGGGCTTCTCCGCCGGCTCCAACGAATTTCCAGCGCCGGCAAACGCGTCCTCGCGCGCGACCTGAGGCAGGTCGCAGCGCGCAGAACGGCATCTGAGCGCGGCCGCGGGCGGTTCACTTGACGCGCCAAGTGCGGGCGCCGAGGGGCGGCCGAGCTCTGCGCGCCCGACCTACGCGCCGGGCACTAGGGAAGAGCGCCTGCGCGCCCAGTCACGTGTCGGGCGCTCCGCGCAAAGCGGGTTAAAAGTGACGACCGCGGAGAGCCCGTGAGAGCCTCGCCGGTCCGCGCGGCGCTCCTCGAGTCCCCTAAGCCGGTACTAAGGGAAGCCATCCGGCTGTCCTCTATCACTTCCCGCCCTCTCGGCCCGGCTCAGCTCCACGCAACGCCTTAGCACACTTCCTCGGCGCCTACATAGGCGCGTGAAACCGCCTCTTTCAACTGACAATGAAGCCGTAGCCGCGCAGCACGGCCGCTGCGGGCCAACGGGCGCGAGGCCGGGTGGGGGAGGAGGGGAGAGGCGAACGGTTGGGCCAAGCCCCGCCCCAGCTCGCGCTCCTATTGGCCGGCACCAGGGCTCTGGCCCCGCCCCCTAACGGACCTGTCGCATTGTGACAGGCGGAGGGGCCAGTTCCTGTTGGGCCCGGGGCGGAGTCAGAGGTAGGCTGAGCTCCGCCCGGACGCCCGGGGGCTCCTCCTCCTGTTCCTCACGGCGCGGCGGGCGGCGGTTGTGAGGGTAATGTCATTGCCGCTCCAAGCGGTAGAGCCGCCTCCGACTGCTCCTGCTCTTTCTCTGGCGCCCTCGTCCCGTCAGCTTTCGCCGTTGCCGCAGCTGCACAGAGGAGACGGATGGCTAGAGGGGCGCAAGGGCCATCCGAGTTGAGAGAGCGGCGGTCGCGGCCGCTGCTGAGGCGGAGACTCCCCGCCGCCGCCTCCACCCCCAGTTCCCTGGCCTCGCGGCGCTGAGGGCGGGCGCGCGCCGCGCTCTTCCCTCCTCCCTCTCCTCTTTCTTCCTCCTCCTCCTCCTCCTCTGGGTCCCCGCCCAGCACCCCTCGCACCAGGCGGCGGCGGCGGCGCGGAGCGAGACCCGCCGCCGGGGCACAACATGGCGGAGCCCTCGGCCCCGGAGAGCAAGCACAAGTCGTCCCTCAACTCGTCCCCGTGGAGCGGCCTCATGGCCCTGGGGAACAGCCGGCACGGGCCCGGGGCCCAGTGTGCGCACAAGGCGGCGGGCGGCGCGGCGCCTAAGCCGGCCCCCGCGGGGCTGTCCGGGGGGCTGTCGCAGCCGGCCGGCTGGCAGTCCCTGCTTTCCTTCACCATCCTCTTCCTGGCCTGGCTCGCCGGCTTCAGCTCGCGCCTCTTTGCGGTCATCCGCTTCGAAAGCATCATCCACGAGTTCGACCCGTGGTGAGTGCCCGCCGCCCCTCCCCCGTCGCCCCCCCCCCCCCGCGCCCCCGCCCGCTCTGCCCGGACCGGCCGTGGGTCCCGAGCTCGGGCGCGCCCTCGCCTGCGGGCGAAGTTTCCCCGCGCGGCTCGAGGCGGGGCGTCGGGGCCCGAGCGGGACCTTGACCCGGGCCGGGCGAGCCTGCCGACTCCTGGGAGGGCGAACGTGGCTCTTCGCGGCCAGCTCGGCCCCCGGAGCCCGACCCGCCTCGCGGGGTGCCGGACGGCGGACTCCCCGCCTCCCCACTGCCCGGGGCTCTCAGTTTCTCGGGCGCCTTTTCGGTTGGCTGGGGTGGGACCGCCCAGGGGGGTGCCCCGTTGCAGTTGGAGGTGAGTCCCGATGTGCCGGAGCCTCCTCTGCTCAGACTCGCAGTTGCACGCTTTTACGTGGTGTCTCTGGGCTCTCAGACGGAAAGGGAAAAAGCGAGGGAGCGATGTGTTGGAGGAAAGGAAATAATATCCCTGAAAGTGATCTGAAAGCTAGGGACGCTAATTTATTTAACGTGAGATATTGTCAAGAGTGGCTTTTTTTTTTTTTTCCACGGCCCTTAAGTGCATTCCGCACCTCACCGGTCCAGTTAGCTTGGCTTATGACTCTGAGCCTAACTGTCACCCTCAGTATGTTATGCACGATATCCGAAAGCGTTACATTAATTCCTTTATTGGTCTCTGTAGGAAGGTGTGTGGATTAGAGAACAAACAGTAGCATAGTGGATGGAGCCCTGGATTTTAATACTGAAGTTGCATATGGCATCAGGGACTGACCTCAGGTTTTAGATTGGCTAATTTATATAATTTAATTCATTGGTCTGTGAACTATTTAGATAGAGTGCTTTAATTTTTTTTGCAACTTGCCCAGCCTGGGTTAAGTTTCTTGTGGGTTTTATTTTAGTCTTAGTCTATGCCTTTCAACCAGCTTAATTCATTTTGACCCATCACCGTTCAGTTAATCTTACTTCCTTATAATCAGACCCGACTAAACTGGTATTTATCGCTGGGATTAAAGAGAGAGAAAATCTTCTTGAGAGTTACTAAATATATGACTAATAAATATTTGGGGGAGTGATGTTAAAATACCAATTGAAGTTCTGTCACAGATAGAAAAATTGGTAGTGCATCATCTGTTGAACACCAGAGGGGTCCACTCCTGGAGAATTCAATTTACATAGACAATTAACAGCTGTGACATGCTTCCATGAAACGTTTTCAAAAGCATTTTAGAGGTTTTTTTCTTTTTTAAAATAGCTTTTGTGTTATTTGGAATCACAGAAGAAAATAAATTCCTGTGAAGCCTTCTGAACCAGAGTATTCTTAGTCCTAGCTTTTAAACACATAAGCAAGTGAGATAAAAATGAAATTGGAACCAGAAAATGAAAACTGCTAATATGTTGCTGAACAATGTGAAAAGAGAAAGTTCTGTTTTTTCAGATTACAAGAGCAGAAGTGCATGGTTGACCAAACGTTTCGGGTAACAAAAATTGTGAATTCTGTTTTCAGAGAGTATAATTTTTAAAAGCAGAATTTTTATTAGTAACATTGAGGCTTAAAGATTGCAGAGAAGTTAACAGCTGCATAATGAGACGATTGGTATTTTTCCTTATTTTGAAAGAAGGTTAGACCTGTGCACCAAGCCAGCCAAAGAGTTTCTACTAAAATTGAATACTTTAGTCATGAAAAGTCTTACTGGATTGCTCCACAGATACGTTTTTTATTTTAATATGGCAAAAAATTAAAAGTTGATTTCTTTAATTTTGAAAATATACTCCAAGGGTTTTTGGAGAATAAAATCCTTTTTTACTCGCACAAAAATCCCTTTTTCTGTGTATAAGACACATTTCAGAAGCATCCTTTAGTAGAATATAGAACATTTGACTTTGGTTCACATACTTTAATATAGAACATTTGACTTTGGTTCACATACTCAGAAGTCTTAAAGATCTATTTGATGTAGGTGTTCGGCTTACTGATAGTTTTAATATTTACGTTTTATTATATTCTTGGTTAAACATTTATGTTCATAATGTTTGATGATTCTGACTAGTAGTAAATAGCCTTTTATAATAAAGGAATTTTCCCTGTCTTTTATTGTGAATGGAGATTTGCCAGTATAAATCTTAAATATAATTCAGATGACTTAATAAGAGAATTTTCAGTAAAAAAAAAAAAAAATTCCTTGTTTGCTCACTTGTATTTTTCCTGTCGTGTCTTTCAAAGAATTCAGGAATCTTATTCTTAAAATCCATTCTTATTGAAAAATTTAGATTTTAAAAGTAGTTTCTCTTCAAAGCTACTATAGTACCAGCACTTTGATTCTACAAACACTCAAGTATTATACTGACTTGGGAGTCTCTCAGATTACTGTTTTAACATGTAGTAGTGACATGAACCTTTAATATTTGAATGTTCCTCTCAGGTTCTGTGCCCACAAACCAGTTTTTTTTCTGACCTTCCCTGATCCTTTTTTTTTTTATGTCTCTGTACACTGGCTTCACTTCTGAGGTCTTTTTAGTGAAAAGTTTACTTCTTCTGTTTGATTTTAAGTTATTTCTATAAATTTTAACTGGTACTTAAATTGTGTAAGACTCTAGTTAGCTGCCAAGGGTGACTCATTGTCACAAAGTTATACTTGTTTTTTTAAAAAGTTTTGTCACTCAGGCTATGTTATAAATCTTACCAGTTGTTAGAAGGAGTGGTATGTGATGTTCATTAATATTTATTGAATTTTGAAGTACACCACACTTTTTTAGAACTTCACTGCCTTTTGGGTTCTGTTCACTGCTTCACTTTAGTAATTTTTCCCCTTATCAGTTGAGTTGATCATACATGAGGACACAGTTTGAGAATTTGTTGTTTGTACTTGGCAAACATTTGGTTGACCAACTTGTTTAACAACACCTTATTTTATCTTTTTATTTGGCGCAGAATGTAGTTTCTACTTATTTTTGTTGTAGCTGTTAATACTTTTATATTAACCAAGTGCTTTTCCCATAACCATTATCTTGTTAAATTGTGGTAGCTTTTCCCACAGATGCAGTGGAAAAGCTCCCTATAAAAGAGTTGCTCTTTTCCCCTGCCTGCAAGGTTGGAAAGGGGTTCTCCCTGGAGCCCTGGAAGGAGAATTCTCTCAGCCTGAGTTTTGACTGCAGTTAACTGTAAAAGGGTGGCAGGGCAGAAAGTTGCAGTTTATGGAGTGGAAACTTGGGAGGCAATTTTTCATCGAAACTTTGGTATAAATAGGTTAATTAGTACAAACGTTTTCAGAGGAGTGATAAACCTTTGGAACGTAAGCTGTTTGTAAGTTGGGGACTACTTCCTGTACTTTGAGGTCTCCATGTTTTTCTTTACTTGACAGATGACAAAAAGAGGCTATTGACCTCAGTTCTGAAGATGACAAAATGGGTAACAAAACCAATTTTAGAACAGAAATGTCACAAAATCTTAAGTCTCTTTACGGAATTGTTAGCAACAGCAATCCAGAGGCCCTTCAGAACAGGTATACTGTCACTGATTTCATTGTAATTTAAAACTTTTCAAGCCTTGAGCTCTGGAGATCTTTCCACTTGTATGAACACTTAGGGAGGAGGCGCAGGATGTGTGTGGAGCTCCTGGGTTGGATGAGGGGATTGGACCTGCTCCCACTGGCTGAGTGTGGTGGCTCCTGTAGGTAGTAATCACAGGTTTCCTGAGGCGTCTCATAGGTGCTGGGGAAGTTAGGCTCTGTCCGCAACCACTCTGGAACTTTTTTCTGCCTTGATTCATGTACTGAGGGCCAACTTGAACAAGACTGCACACCCCTTACTGCCATAAGCAGTTTGCACAATGTTGGTCTAAGAAACTTAGATTAGGAATTGCATTCTAGGTCCTGACCCAGCTATTATGAACAGGGGCAGACTTGCTAGCCTGTCCGTGCTTTGTCTTCTCTGATTTTTATGCTTTCAATAAGTTTTGGGTGCTCTGTGGGGTATGAGAAGGTTGTCTTCATCGTAGTATCTTCTTAAGAATCAGTGCATACATGCTCTCAGAAATAATGGAAGGATTAATATTCTCAAGTGACTGAAACATTTTTTCCCCTCATTTTGTTTACTTTGAAAACTAAGTGCTATTAGGGAAAGACAGTACTGCAGTTAACCTGAATTATAAAGCACTGTACAGTTCAGCAGCTCGGTATATTGCTTGATTGTTATATTATGAAAATTTTCAAGCATACAGAAAAGTTGAAAGATTTTTACAGTGAGCACTCATACTGAGCATGTAGATTCTGCACTTTGTTGTTTAGTTGCTAAGTCGTGTCTGACTCTCTTGTGACCCCGTGGACTGTAGCCCACCAGGCTCCTCTCTGTGAGATTTTCCAGGTAAGAATACTGGAGTGGGTTGCCATTTCCCTTGCCAGTTAGTATTTACTTAATTTGCTTTATCATGTCTTTCTATCTGTCCATTACTGCTTTTAAATCCTGCTTGTAGGATACTAATAGTACACTGTAATGTGAAGAATGTTATCTTTATTCCTCAACTCTGTGATAAAGAGGAGCTCTTACCTCTGGGTAGCATTTATTTTCTATAATACTTGAATATAATGAGCATAAATACCATTTATATGTCATCTTCAAATTGAACTGCAGGTTAGAATCAGATTCAGTCATTCTGGGTTTTGGTTAGTAACTCACCTGAGTACATTGTAAGTGAGTGCTTTTAGCCCAAGTCTGTTAAACAACTTGAAAGTGAAAAGAAAGTGAAGTCTCTCAGTTGTGTCCTACTCTTTGCGACCCCATGGACTGTAGCCTACCAGGCTTCTCCGTCCATAGGATTCTCCAGGCAAGAGGACTGGAGTGGGTTGCCATTCCCTTCTCCAAAGTTGAATCCTATGTCTCAGGAGAAATTCTGAAGGTATTGATGTTGGTTTTATAAGATTTAGTTTTTGTGGAACTGCTAGACTCATTTGAATTATTAGAAACCTTTTGTTGGTG